TTCCAGTACTGTACTTACGGCTAGGCCTCTTGGGCGTCACTAGGAACACAAGTAGGTAACATTAATCAATGCCTCCAATCTCAAACAGACCTCGGAGACGTTAAATACAGAAATTTATTAATGTTAAAATACATCGTTGATATAATATAAAACAAATGTAGTTTTGCCGAACACTTTCACAAGTGTTTTATATTAAAAATAGAGTTCCACGATCTCATACCTTCGCCAAATGATGTTAATCTTTATGACTGACAGAATAAAGATTATTCCTCCTGATTAGGCCATGTTGATTTGATTATATGGATGACATCCGCGCGCGCATGAATTTTCGGCCGTTTCCAAAAAAAAAAATTTTCAATCATACTGTAAATTATACAATCAACAGTTGCAAAATGAGCAAATATATACCGTAAGGTACAAAAAAAATATTTGAAAATGATACCATTGTCGTAGAATGCCAAAATTAAATGAAAAAGACGAAAATGTGAAGAAATGAATTTGGAGTGTAGATTATTCGCCATACCATACTCATGTGTCATTTTTTCAACCTTCATGACCACGTAGATTTCATGATGAAAGCAACTTTTTCTTATTCGCACGCTCGCATCAGTTTTGAGGTCCCCAGAGGATGTCATCCATATAATCAAATCAACATGGCCTTATGTAAATAGGAATCTCATTTGCATGGATTGTATCAGTTGATCATATTCTTCATTAACAGACAGCGTTATCTTAACAAAGAAAGCCATTCTATCATTTATTCATAAATTATGCAAATGAGGTCATTATTTAAATAAGCATCTTTAAAAATGTTTACCTTCACTTAATGTTCAAATACCCCAAGTGTGACATTCTAGGCAGTAACCATTATGGAATTATAGCATTTTCTCATTAATTATGCAAATTAAATGTTAATTTACATAATCAATATCTGCCTGTGTTTCTCTTGTTCTCAATTACATGTCACAAGATTGTATAGTCCTATAATGTAATGCAGCTGATTTATGGAATTTCCTTATTAATTGCGCGAATTACAGCAAGATTTACATAATTCTCGCAGAATTATGTCAAGCGTAACTAAAGCTACGTACATACCAAAAATCAGGACAACCCTGCAGTTCCACACCAAGCCGCAAGGGGGGCAAACTTACGTTACTTCTTCCCCAGCACAAGAGCCACCTACCACAAAAAATTCGTGACCCTTACTGTCTAGATTATGAGATATCAAAGCCTGAAGTTCCGCTGCAGTACCACAACAAGCTGCCAGGGGACCCAAAATCTAATCATTTTTAGGTCTCATCACAACCTACATACCTACCAAGTATGAAGACAATTTATTCAAGCCTTCTCGAGTTATCGTGTTTACAGGCAGACACACAGACAAAAAGACATACACACACACGAACACCTCTGAAAACATATCCTTCTTGGCAAAGGTAAAAAAGATTGAACTAATATTTATGGTAAAGGCTCAGTTACCTAATACCGACCATCATTAGCAATTTGTCTTAACTGTAAAGGGTAGGGGTTGATGCCTTGCCAGTTCAATGGATACAACGATACGATTGTGAAGGATTGTGCAGTTTCTTTATCTACATCTATATCTACATGATCTCTTCTCTCTTTTTAAAACATGTTTACATAGTTTTTTGGCGACGTCTCAGAGGCGGATTCGTAGGTATAGTACTGCGATTGAGTTGAAAATATCCTTGAAATTCCATGAATGACACTGCTCAAAAATCGGAATATCCGGACGTTTCCGGACCTGTACATGCCCCGTGAAACTTGGCGTGCCCGGGTGTGTCCGGGTGTGTGCAGGAAATGTCGGCCACGGCGTGTGCGGGTCTGTGATTCCTCCGGACACGCCCGGACACCTGGTAATTAGTCGTGTGTACGGGAATATACGGGCCTGCACACGTCACACGTCGCAAGTACTGCCAAACAATAAGGGGTCACCATACATGTAGATCGTTTCGCAAATGCGTAAATTGAGAGGTGCACATGTGTTTTCAAAGCCGGTAAGAAGAACGGGGAAAATGCTGGTTAGAAAACAATATTATTTTACTCCCGAAATCTACCTAAACATGAGTTCGTTCCATGAACCGAATTACTACCTAAAAACGTTGTAGGTAACAGGCAACGCAACACAAAGACAAGACATCTAGATTGGATGGTAGAGGAAATCAGCGTTACATTAAAAGTTGGTGAATAGAATAAATGTTGTTTGGGAGCCGATGTCTGCTATAAACTCGCCCTCGCCAGAGTCTGGTTGACTTTTGGGCCACGCCAGGCTTATATAAACTCTGCTAAAGAATCTAGAAGGATATATAAAGCTTGGTATGAACAAGGATTTTATATGAACATGCAGCTTCAACTAGGTTATGATATAACGTCCTTGGTATGAATGGGGTCTAAGTGTATCCCTGTATATATTTGTAACTATAACCCTTGCTATGAACAATGAGTAGATTTCTTTGTGTGGTCCATCGTCTCCCCGCATATATTAACGCCTCATTATACCGGCACCATATTGAATCTACAGTGGGCAAAAACAACAACACAATTACTGATCAGAATTTTACCAAACTAGTCTATTGGGAACCTTCGACCTTGACATATTTCACCTTTGGAAACATGGTCGTTTTCTTTGGTAATGAGAGGGACCGCTCTGGTGTTTTTTTCAAATATCAGCCCACTTTAATGTAAAAATAATTTTTTGGAAGAGGCAAAAGATGCATAGTTTACTTGTACATTGTTGTAAGATGTGTATTGTGGTGTCATGGTCAGAGACGAGACGGCGCCTATGTCTTATTTACCTTGTTTGTTTGTTTTTATATAAGAGAGGTTTAACTTCCTTTGTTATATTTAACTTTCATACTTTAAGAACACGAAGTTGAAAACATTACACGGGTAAACTGCAAATTATGTGTTGATGATAACATTCCAGACTATTTTATAGCCTATGTTTTTTTTTATTAGTGTGCGTGTAACTTTTACATAATAGACAAGCGGGACATTCCACAACTCTTTGTATATCATTATCCTTGCGGTGACCTGTAAACCAGACCAGCCAATTGCATGCATTTCTCTTTGTTGGGGTTTGAAAAGAGGGCCAATCAACGCTCGGGTCATTATTTTTGAAATCTTTCCGTTACATGCCTGGTTGTGGAGCGTGTATTGTACAACTATCCTGGGCACAAGCAACACGCTAGGAACTTAGTGAGAGCATGGAGGTAGAAAAGGGTCCATGGTGAGAGATTGTGTCATATCTCATCATCAACACAGGAATACCGGTATTGCGCCTTTCTACGTAAATTGGAGCAGTTTTCAAGACAAGAACGCCGTGGGACACTGGCAAGACGAACTGGGACAAGACTACTCTCCAAGCTGAGGTTGATTGGGAAGATTGTGAACGTCAGAGTATGCCTCGTTCTTTGGCAAGCCGGTAGCCAGGATCCTGGGAACCAGGCTGCGGGCATAGGCGAGTGATAGTCCGCGTGCAAGAGAGTATTAGACCGGACCAGAGGACCGATGTACACCCCTCCGGACTATATGCTGTGTACCGACTCAAGGCCGTGCTGTGGCACAAGATGTTCGGCCCGTGGGTCACCGCCTCAGCGAGGCTTGTTGCACAGCGCGGAATAAAGAGCTTGGGATGGCTTCTAACGACTGGTGCCCAGACGAGACTAATATCTGCTCCCGTGACTAGCTGCGTCAAGGCAAGACACAGAAGAACGAGACGTACAGTTTGTTTCAGCTGAGCTGAAAGACCGGCCGAAGTACACTGGAAATATTGGAGGCACACAAAACACAAACAAAAAGTCACAAAGCCCAAGCACCATGTACAATTAATAAAGAAAACAAAATTATGCAAACAAGAAGGGGGGATAAACGGCTATGATGCTACTTTACATTACAAAAGGCACATTGGAGGGGGGGGGGGCGTGTGCGGGTGTGTACGACCCGTACACGAGCTGATAATGAGGAAGATAATTAGGTGAAAATTACCGCTAATTTTTGCATTTTTCATACACACACTCAGAGGTACGTGTCACGTATCCAGGTGTGTGCAGAGATTTACGGGTGGCGTGTGCAGACGTGTGCAGGCCTGTACATGGCCCGGACACCTGAGTGGTTCATATCCGGGCCGTGTGCGGGTCGCGCACACCTGGAAATGTCCGTATATTTGGAATTTCCGGGCGTGTGTACGGGAGTATACGACCCGGATACGTTGGTTTTCGTCTAATGTGAATTAAATTTCGTCAACGGCTGGGTGGATTGGTTTCATACTTAGTGGGTTGGTAGGGTGTGACTAAATCTAGAAATGATGCGATTTTGGAGCCCCTAGTGGCTTACCTTGGTACTGCAGTGAAACGTCTGGTCTTGGTATCTTTTTTTTATTTTTTTTAAATTTATTTATCGAAACATATAATGACAAGACACGGTGGCGACACACTCAAGTTACACTTATATTCACGTTGCCACCAGACAATACATAATACATAGGATAAGCAAAGCACAAATTAAGATATAGAAGTTGAATACGATAATAAATCGATGAACTAGAGTGGGGCTATTTACCAGTTTAGCTTTTCTGCGTATCTTTTCACGTGGACATGGTCTTGATATCTGGACATGTTAGGGTTATGAATTTTAGATAATAAGTAGCCCTTGTGCTTGTAAGGTGGTCACGTGAGTTAAGGCCCCCTAGCAGCTTGTTATGGAATTACAGGTCAAATGCTTTGAAAAGATATTCAAGAGGATATCTAAAAAAGAAACGGGTGACCCGTAGTCGTGATTTCTGGTATGCATGAGCTTAAGCCATGCTTGATTATGCAAATCAGGATCTAATCTGCATGGGTCATGGAGAACTTCTATACATCTGCCGTGTTCAATGAAACAAGGACTATTAAACATTTGTGTCATCAGCATACCAAATATCATCACAATCCATAAAGGTGTTATGAAGTTATGCCGCCTACAAAGTTGCGGAAACACACACACACACACACACACACACACACAGACAGACACGCCAAAAACAATACCTCCATTTTTTCATTGAGGTAATTATTACAAAAAAAGGCCCCGTCTTTAGACAGCCTTTATGGTTCTTGGCAGACATAGTTCAATATCAGATCTATGTGGTTCTTGATAACGTTTGGTCCAGGGTGTAGCTTGTAAACATCTTCACACACAGACATATCCCAAACATCCATGAAAAAAATATCGAGACCTTGTAAAATTTGCCTGGCGCCCAGCAGGTTTTGATATGCAACCCAATTACCGTTCTCTATAACATGAGCAACCGTCATGTGCTTACGGGTGTTGCCTGTTCGCCAGACTACTTTTGTGTCCGGAGATCGACTATGTAAACGTTCAATGGCATGGCGAATTCCATAAACTCGTGATAGGAAGGTTTCTGATGGTACTGCAGAATAATGAGCCCACAGACTAAGAATAATAACTACATCAGGCCCACCAACAATACTATCGATCAGATCAGCAGTGTACTTAATATCGCTCATTTGAAGAGGTGTTCTTGTATTTCTTGGGAACGTATGGAAATGAAATTGTATATTAATGCTTTTGTGGATTTTTTCCCATTCTCTTATTGCGTCTGGGAGTTGTACATTAATATCCTGTACAAGCTTTATAAGAAACGCATAGTACTGCCTTGCAGTTGAATCACCAACTATAAAGAAGGTTTTGTGCCGGAGGCATTTGTAAGTTGACAATGTCGGCAGGTATTCGTTTAAGCGACACCTGAGTAAATTCCACTTTCCGTTATACCAGTATCCGTCGGTTCCTTTCTCCAGCAAGCGAGGGCTACATAACGGCAGGTATTCTTGCAAAATATCTGCAAAATGACAAAAGATACAAACCTTTATCAGGGAATGTCAGGAGAAGGCAGGAGATGATTTCAAATGTAGTGCTTCTTTATGGTTTTAAAATTTCTGTCATTTAAAAGCATGCTTTCAATTGTTATAGTGTCAATAAGCCCGCCGTTAACGCCCGTTTGTTGAACCAAAATTTTGTGAACCATTTGAAGTTGTAAGGCGAAACTAATTCACATTCTTAAATCAACATCAGGTTAAGGTTTCCCGTTCCAATATTTTAAGAATATCATAAATTACAATGGGTTGCTGTATTGCTAAAAAAATATTGCCTATATGCTTTGATTGGCGAAACCTTCAGCACTAATTTATATACAAAAATAGAGACAAAATTAGTTTAGTTTAGGGTCTGAAGCCCCAAAAGAAGATCCTGATTTATATGCAAGCAGGCCACGGGAGGGCAGAAGAGGTGGGTAGGTACAATACGCCCTGCAACCTAAAATACAAAAAGTGGTGGTACAATGTCTAGAAAATTCCGAATATCTATATTTTGGTATGTATTATAATAATAAACGTTGTCATTGATTTTTATTGCAAGAATTTTTGTGGATGTTAGGACATTTATCAGAAATGATATTGTAAAATTACGAGGGGTGTTCAAAAAGTTCTCGGCCTCACCTAGAAAATAAAGGTCAAACTCCTATTCTTTAATATAGCTGTATACTATGACGTCTTACATCACTGCACACAAAAATTCAAATTTTTATATTCATTAATTAGCATGTGACGCCCCTTGAAAATGGGGTGGGTGAGGGCAAAATCACAAAATGGCCGCAACAGAAGCTTGTGCTGTGATCAAGTGTATCGATAAAAAGGGATGTCTCCTAAGGAAATCCATGAAGACATGGTCAAGACACTTGGTGATGAGTCCCTTCTTATTAAACTATAAAGAAGTGGGTTGCTAGCTACAAGCGCGGCAAGGAGAGCACAAAAGATGAACATATGCCAGGATGCCACAAATCAGCACCACGAACAATCCGGTTGAGGCCACCCATCACATGGTAGTGAATGACAGATGTGAGACTGTCCGACATGTAGCAGAGTCTTTGGCCTTTGTTTTGGCTCAGTTCACAATGTTTTGTCGAACATCCTAGGGATGAACAAACTGTCTGCATGGTTGCTGCCTCGAATGTTTTCTGAACATCAGAAGTTAAACAGGCGGGACATTTCAAGGAACGATTTCACTCCAATGCATGCAATTTCCTCAAAACATTTGTAACCCAAGATGAGCTGGGTTCACCACTTTCACTCTGAATCAAAACAGCAGAGCAAACAATGGATAAAGAATTCCCCGCCCCCCCAAGAAGTTTTAGCGACTTTCGTCCGTTGACAGGGTTTTTGCCTCTGTTTTCTGGGACAGTAAGGAAGTAATCATGATTTCTGCGAAGGGGTTAAAGCATCAATGGGGAGTACTATTTAACAGAATTACGACATTTGAGGACAACAATCAAAGAGAAAATTAGAGGAAAGCTCCTGGCCTGCTAACAATGCACCTGTTTACACAGCACAGGGGTCAGTGCCAGCAGCAAACGAATTTGGGTTTGCAGTCCAACCCCACCCTTCCAATTCACCTGACCTAGCACCCTCGGACTTCTACCTGTTTCCTAAACTCAAGTTCAACTTTGACGTGGTCAACGTTTTGATGGTAGTTATGACGTCATCTATGCGGTGGAGGCCAATCTGGGGGTCCAGATGCAACCTTCTTCCACAAGGGGAAAACAAAACTGGAACATCACTGGACCAAGTGCATTGCAGTTAGAGAGGACTATATTATGAAATAGTGTAAAAAAAATTTACTGCCCTGACGTTTTCTAGGTGAGGCCGAGAACTTTTCGAACACCCCTCGTATTGTATGTCCTTGTCACTGTTAGGAAAACAAATCGTTTGCAGATAATTTTTTGAAATTTTAATTTTATATTCTAAAGTTTGTGGGGTTAGCCGGAACGTGTTTCATTCGGTTTTACACATTTATCAGACTATGGCTGTAGAAATAGCTACCCTAGATATGATTATGCGTAAACTCAGGTGTCTGTATTTTGCAAAAAAACTCACCCTTTTCTTTTACGGTAATGCTGATGTTGTTCAGGATATCCATGTACACTCTTGTGCTAAATGTAAAGTAGAATAAGGGTAAGGGTATGTTATAAAAATAGGTGACTGTACGAATAATCATCATTGAATTTATTAGTCAAATTCGTCTCGCCAATGCTTACTAATATATTTGCCGGAATTGTTAATAGGAAATTTCAGTATTATGAAATTAACAATGCTTGAAAAAATATATATTACCTGTTAAGCAGCTGAATCTCTTGCGCGCTCACCATCTTTTTCTGCAACTCAGCTGTAGCAGTTTCGTTGCGTTTACATTCTTTTATGAACTTGCACGAAATACTTCGTTTTGGTTTTGTGCATGACCATGTAGCATTCAGGATAGGTCTAGAAAAATCACACTGTGAACTCAGACTGTGATCTCTTTTTCTACTAAAGCTACATTCGGTCCATTCAGAAATGTTGACTATGGTATCAACAAAGTTACAATAAGTTACACGTCCCTCCAGAAAAGAGTCATGGATTCTCCTCAGAATCTGGACAGCTTCACTTGGCTGTATTAGCTTTACAGAGACGGAAAAGTTTCCCGGCAAACTTAGGAGAAACTGAGCGACGTAAGATCCATTCTTGTAGTCCGTAACTTTCCCAGGCGTACACGACTTTACAGGATAGTCAGTGTACAATTTTGCTATCAAAAAATCTCCTCCGTGAAGTCTCTGATGAGCACTTTTGTCCCGGGCAGTTATTTTATAGAGATATTTTCTCCAACTTGATAGGTGGGTTTAGGGTTGACAATAGACAGAGACATCTTATCAGCAGTAGTGATTTTACTAAAGTCAAAACCACCATGATTCTTTCGAAACGCAGGTATTCTAATATTTCCAATCGCCTCCTTTTGGAGAAGTTGAGATGTATATTGATGCCATGTTGGGTTATATGAGCCACCATACAGAGTTACCTGTAGGA